AATCACAATAAAATAAACTCGAAGAATTACCAATAAGACAACTGCGGGACAACCTTCCTTGTTTAATGATTACTGGCATGTTTTCACAATAATGAATCCTAGCCGAATACCTGCCCCAAAAAATGCAACTTCAAAAAAAAAACATTGAAAAAAAACTGAAATGTAACTGCATTGACTGTAGCCACACATCGATGCTTACCTTGACGATGAACTTGCTGCCAAGCGTCCTCGACTCATCTAAATGCATCAAAAGCTGCCGCATCGCTGGATCACATGTTATCAATACGCCTTTTTTAACATTTACCATCTGTAAACATACCAGATAAAACAAAGGAGAAAGCCAGAGCATATGCATTAGATCTGTTCACTCATATGTGTTGCTACACACCAATCTCTGTATGAGGATGTGTCAGCGCACCTACGCGTGCATCGAATAAATAAATAAATAAATATACATATGATGGATATTAACACCATTGAGACTTAAAAACTACAACGAAAGCATAATATTCTTTATTCTTTTTGTGATGAATATCAAACAACAAATCGCTACAACAAAAACTAAAGCTTGTTGACTCTTCAAATACTGTACTTCTTTGTTCGTGACCTTAAGTACTCATAGTAAGCTTCCATTTTCTCCCAGCCATTTTTCTGCTTCTCCCGTTCTTTGAATCCCGGTGGGCTTCCCTGTAGGTTGCAATTGATGAAAAATCAATACAAATAGCACCATTTCGATGAACCTCACCTCTTCTAATCGCACAAAAATATTAATATATCGATAGCGGATGGTGCACCAATTTTCATGAGCATGACGTCGTGCACCTGAGATGAGTCCAACTTGAGTCAATGGAAATTAAAAAGTCTTTCAACTAAAAGTATGTTGCAAAAGGCACAGACCGATGTTACCATACCCCCAGTTGTTGTAGGAGTAAGTTTATACATGGCAGGCATCACAAGAAGAAGAAAACATCTATCATAATAATAACAGGTTATGGGCAAAACTCTTCCCCCTGAACGAGATCGAAACCGCATCTCGCCTTCCGACCAGATGTACTCTACACCTTAGCCGAGCTTCCCTTGGAATACTTACTGTGGCTTATTAGCACTCACACGTAGAGCCTCATGAGCCGGTTAGCCGACATCGGCAGCAATCGCAAGGATAAAGACAGTAGCAGATCGGCAGCACAACTGGCCCGGGAGGGGAGAGGTGCAGGTTCGATTCACAGACCAACAAATTAGCATGTGCTCAGCATGCTTGATAACTTTCGCATAGAGAACTGTGGACACAAACAGGAGTTAATAATCAAAAAAAAAAAAGTAAAAAAGAATGGAAGAGTATAAAGCAGCAAACAAAGAGTCCACCGGCTAAATGATTCGTATAACTCTTTACAGAGAAGAAGTCTCTGCGACCAGAAAATTACGTCACTTCACCTCATTTTGTTATAATTGAGAGCAAATCTGTTTTAGGGTAGCAATGCTTATGCATGATAGACTGTGATCATGATTTCAATGCACTCCTTACCTTTAATTATTTGACATTGAACTGGAAACGCATCTGCAACAAACATGTCGGATGGGAACTCGATATGAAACTCGTTTACTGCTCTTTCCTTCGCCTCCATCAACACTTCTCTGAGAATCTTGCAACTCTGCACAAATATCAAAAGTTAATGACCAAGTTAGTGAAGTGCATGAACGGCGTGTTGAAGCAACATTGTTACAAATACTCTATGCGGGTAGTCAACATTGACAAAATGCAATCTCTACCTTCAACTGCTGAAAATCCAGTTGGGTTATAGCTTCATCTACATTCGTCCGCCAAATGAGCTGACATGCTTGCCACATACGCTTTGGAGAGAAATGCACCTGAAAGAATCCAATGTGCCGATCCCAATATCTAGTGACCCACAAGCCAAAAGCTGCACAAACTGAAAGCGCAAACCGATTTGAGGACCGTAGTATTTCGACGTAGCACACACAGTATAGTAGTTAGGTTGAGCGAAAATTCCCCGCTTAGGCTAACGACCTTTACATAATGACCCCAATTTCGACGATTTGATGTTTTTAAAAAGCCACAACCCACCGCACATTTCATTATTTATCAATTGCGTACTTGTTGCAATTGGGAGCTTACAGGTGAGCAAAAATAAAACTGCATCGGAATTAAAGTTGCGTGCATAATACAACATGAATAAGTGTTCCTGCTCAAGGCTCTTAGTATGAATGTGTCATGTAGTCAAGTACGTGGAAGACTGCAGGCTCTCGGACTCCAAAGTTCAAAAGTTGTCAACAAAAAATTAGGAAGCCATTAGCGTTAAAAACAGGCGGATAATTTCCGCTTAAAGAATATAGAACTAAGGTTTAACAGAGCTAATACATGGGCAACTCAAAAGAAATAAATTTATAAGAATATTGCTAATTTGGGTGAAAGCAGTGCGACGTCAAGTGGCGCTTCATACTACGCGCACGGAGGGAGGTCAAACACCTAATCGCATTTGGCCAAGCCTAGGAAGACTCCTACTCTCCGGAGTCGGTTAATTGGCGTAAATTTTACTTGAAAGCATAAAAAACACTGTCCTTCACACCGACTAGCCTTGCGAGAGATCGTCTGAGCCATTTCACATTCAAGTGCCATTACGATTCATAATGCAAGTCGGATGCGTGTCGCATCACAACGTGAAATTTTATTCACTTTAACAGTTATCTTATTTACTCATTAAAGGTTTGAGTCCATAGTAACGATGTTTGAATAAAGAGGCTCCCTAAACTGTGCGTTGATCTGCGAGGAAAGGATATGAAACGTGAAAAAAAAACAACGGGCTTTCTTCGCATTTTCCAGGCATTCCGAAATGACGCGGAGCATGAAAGTAACCTAAACACGATAACGCTGTATTCTAAGATCTTCATAGTATTCTTGACTTCGAAAACCCTAATAATCACTCCCACGATTGGGCGGAACCTACTGGTCTACCAACTCAACCAAACAATCAAGCGCGCAAGGGAGTTTGCTTGAAAAGCGGAAAGGTCGCTTTCCTTGCGAACCACATACACTTTACCACGTTGTGTGGTTCACACATCAAATCGCTAAAAGGACATATATCGCCTCCACATCAACCAATTGTCTCTATAACTTCTCACAGAGCAATCAAATAGCCAAAACCACGAGAAATCAAACCACCAAAAATTATGAAAATATCAAGTAACTCACCGATTCTCTGCAGTGGAATACTTCCCTAGCTTTTGGCAATCCTGTCTCCGGTACAACATAATGAGGAGGCCAAACAACCTAAATCGATAGCTAACACGCAGAAAAGCAACAGTAACAGCAAGTTTAGAAAAGGATTCGATGAAAGGACTCACCTTGTTGTAATACTCCCATTTCTCAGGTGTCGTGCCGTAATTTTTTAATGGATCAGGGTAGCCCTCATCCTTATTCGGTTTCCTGTCGAGCTCCCACTCTGGAGCGTAGTAAACCTGGACATGTTAAGCTCACAAACAAGCTGGAATCAGGTTTTACACAAGACTAACCTTCGATGATAGCACTTCATCTCGCTGCATTACAGGCTTCCGCAGCTGAATTCGGCGATCCCATATCTTCTTGAACAGAAATACTCATTATCCCCATAAATAAATACTCATTGAACATGATAGCTCCTTTACAGAAAAAAAAATGAAAACGTAATGGAATTACAAATGTAAATCAGAAAAAAAACAAAAAAAATCAAAGCATCCATGGTCGCATGTGAATTGTTCAAAATTCCGATGATCCCTTATTTCCTGCTTAAGCGAGCAAGCCACATTCTTTACTTCTACCTATTTTCTCCCAGCTTCCCTCTCAGTACTAGACGAACTAATGATTGAAAACTACTCCCTAGCCTATCTTTATACTCTCTGTCACCGCTTGATTTGACTTGTCCCTTGATTTCCACTTAGGTGCGGAATCATTCACGTGAATCCCCTTGAATATGTAAATCACTAATGAAAGATTCCACGATAAGATTGGAGGTCGAAGAAGGGGAAACATATCTAGTCGCGAACCAGATGGCCCCTTAAGAGTACGGGACGCGACTGCTCTGCGTTACCTTGCAGTTCGAGTGCAGAGTGAGCAAGTATCGATCATGATCGCCAAATCGCAAAACCGCACGATCAATACGTATCTACTCCACACTCTGGCATTGCATGATGGTTCGTTATCCACTATTAGTAACTTAAACAAGTCCCCAGCAGGGTTTTTACCTTAACACTAATGGCGTGGAACGTTGCGCTAGCCCTAGTCAAGAGTATAAGAAGTGTGAATGAACAAAAAGCTTACCTTGGAAAGCCGCTGGAAAGGGAGCTGAACGGCTTCGAAGTGGGCGTGGTTGGAAGTCGGCCAAGGAGATTGCAGCCGACTGAGCAACCACGCCCACTTCGGAGCTGTTCAGCTCCCTTTCTAGCGACTTTCCAAGGTAAGCTTTGCGTGCCTTTCGAATTCTTTCTTCAACAGTCATTAGCTCTCCAACAATTTTATTATTTGTGATTAGCACACTGTTTTGCGGATCCGGTAATGTATACCGGTTTTAAAAAATAACAAGTGCCATAAACCAAGAAAAATGTCTCCCCGAGTTAAAGTGTGGCCCAGCGGACTAACCGATCGTCAGAGTTTAAAAAAGACATTTACATAGGAAGAAAATAACAAATCGAACCTCTTTTGCTTCTGGTGTCACAGATGTGGACGCTGAATCATGCGCTGCTTGCAAAGATTTTTGAAAAGTAGAATGTACCCAACGACATGACAGGCACCGCATCCCACGGGCGAGCATCCTAAACTTCTTTGAAAAGAAAAATTCATAAGGGAGGATAAAGTTGACAAAAAAAATCTATTGGAAAATTCATCAGCTTAGGTAAAATTCAAACTAGTAGTACAAATCTTATTGAATATCCCCAGTTGGTTCTCTAGTGTGTTTGCGAAGTTCGGCGCAAGTGTGGCTCGGAAGGGGGGAGGGCGGGGAGGGGAACCAGCACGTAACATCGCGTCAGAATTGCGGGGACGTTCAAGTCTCAGGACTAAGCATTGGAGGGCGAAGGGGAGGGAGTGTCCGGTGTGCGGAAGCAATTTTCGTACCGCCGGAGTTCGTCGCTGCTGCCTAGGGTTAGAGTTAGAAGCCTTTCCACAGAGCACCCTCCCCCTTCCCTCTGAGCCACATTGCGCCCGAACTTCATGTGCTAGAAAAGAGAGTGCACAAAAGATGCATCAAACGAATGATCTCAGAAAAAAAGAACGGCGCAATGTGGCTCGGGGGGGGGCACTCTGAGAAAAGTCATCTAGGACTAAGCCTAAACAGCAGGGACGAACTCCGGAGAATACGAAAATTGCTTCCGTACACCGGAGTTCCTCTCCTCTTCAAAAGCTTAGTCCTAAAACGGAGCGTTTCCGTGATTTTGACGCGATGTTGCGAGGTGCCCCCCGAGCCACATTGCGCCGAAAATCACTGTTGGAAACTTGTAAGCATTTACAACACGATTTCAATCATGTGAAACACCGAACCTTACAAAGACAAATAAGAAGCAATGAGCACACGAGCATAGAAAATGGCCGCCAACAAACGCGCTCTAGTGAAGCTTTCAAGGTCTGTGCCCTTTAAGTAAAATCGCCATTGTAGAGCACGGTTATTCCGAAAAACGATCCTGGATAAACTCTTAGGGTACAGCTGCTTGAATTATTATATTTTCGGGGATCGGTCGATTGGACACTAGGGGCCGTATGCTATGCTTCCCCGAAGCTAGGTGACTAAAGTTTCCTTTAAATTTATTTGCTTTGAATGATGTCGCTTCTTCATTTTCAATGCATGTTTACTTTAACCTACACACATACCCTCGCCTTCAAATAACCAGAAATTGTGCAATTGCAGAAATTGACGTGGCATTAACGTGGCATCGATTCAAGAACATCTTTGAGCACACGTGACGTCACCTTTTCATCGAGAATTTAGCCACGTGTGCCACGTGGATTTCTGGCTGCATGAAACGGAGTGTACTTTGATGTAAGGCCTTTTATCAGGGTAATCCCAGTTGGCAAGACAAGAGAAAATTTAAAGGAATTTTCGTCCCCTAACCCCTTCGGGGAGCATAGCATACTAGCCGGTGAGGCTAACGCGGGAGGGTGGCGTGCCGTGTGGCAAGTTTTGTGGTTCTTTCCAAATGGTTTATGATTAACGCCATATTCATCAGTTGTGGGGAGGGGCGCAATGTGGCTCGGAGGGGGCAGCCGCCGCGCGCATCGTTGCGGCAACAGGAAATTCGTGAGCCAGGTGGGGGAATGTAGCCAATTCAGGGAGGGTTGGGGGTGAGGGCAGTCACTTGACATGCGTGAGAAGCTGGAATGTTCGAGTTACACAACATCGCTGAGCCGCGCGCGGCGACTGCCCCCCCCCCAGCAGGGTCAGTCCTATCGTTGTTACTTTTTCAAAAATTTTTACGACCCTCCCCCAAGGTGGACTTGGTACGACCCCCTTTTCCACACCTCGACCACCATATTCCTCTCTATAGTATTTAATTCTGGTACCACTCAACCCACCAAACTCCGCCTTTTCCTCCAAAATGCCGTCGAGCGGGGGGGGGGTATAACCTTATGGTCTTCGAAAAAATTTAAGCCTCGCAGTATAAATTTTGTGACATATAAAGGTTGGCTCATCTTTGACTCCTCTATTAATTAGCTGCCAGTATTCAGGAAGTAATAGTCAGTCATGACCTTCCACCTCCTAGTTGTCATTACTTTTCACCTTCGCCTCACTTGCCGGTGGCAAGACCTCTCTGAGGCTGGTGTCAGACTCCACGATCCGACGCAGGTTCCGCCGATTTTTGCGACTTGCGCGATTCACGCGATTTTCGCGATTTGCACGAAACCTGTGACGAATCGCAAAAATTGCAAGTGTCCCATTCGAACATTTGAAACCCTGAATATGAAACAAGTGGAATTATGAGGCGGTCGTCATCTCAGCCATACACTATTTGAGCAGAAGTGGAATACGGGATTGGAAACCACCTGCAGTGATCGGCACTTTGGTGACAAGCGTGACTCGCGTGAATCGCGCAAATACGCTGAAAATCAGCGCCACCTGCGGACGATCGCGCCTCTGAACCAGCCTTAAAGCCAACAGTCCAGGCAGGGTTCCGAGCATTAGTCGCTAATGGGTGTGGGGAGAAGCACTGGTCCTACTTAAACATATCTGAAAGGGAACTGAAGCATGAACTCACCTTTGGAAGCCTGTAGCGATGAACTTCAGCAGGGCGGGGGGGGCGGAGTGGACCGGGATGGCGGACCAGGGTCAAGCGTGCGTTGAGGAATCCTCGACATGTCACAGGGGGGGGGGGGTCGTATTGGCCCGCTGGGAGGAAGAGATCGGGCCGGATTGACGCGGTAGGATCATCACCATCGGAGGACAAACATCAAGGGTCGATGCCAGGCCAGAGGATTTCCAATAACAATGTCATTCTGCCCACATTCGTGATTCAGAGATGTCCGCTTAGCAAATTCAGTTACTTGTCCTGTGACGGTGATGATCCTGGTTTTGTCACCATACAAGTTAAACAATTCGAAATAATTCGCACTTTTTCCAAGGATATTTTATCTTTCAAGTGAGTCCTCGAATCTAAAGGGATGTGAAGCACATGGCGCATCCCAGAGTGGGCTTAATTGGTTGCGCGCACTTCAACTACGGCTCTCTGAAGAAAGAACCTCAATTCAGGAAAAACTAAGAGGATTCTGAAAGGATCCGTGTGAAATTACAGGGAGGAGTACACCATTCAAAAAGAAACACAGTCTTCAGCGTCAAATTCTTAAGCACGTAACCCTTAAAGTTGAGATACACTAACTATTTTACACTTCTTGGAAGAGAGAAGCAGGAGCATTTCGAATCTGCCCCTACTTTAGTATGTAATCGCCTCTGAAAGGAGCTATAGCCGTTGAAATAGGGCCAATGCAGCAAAAAAGTACCTTTCGGCGGTACTCGGGCAGAAATCCTCAACGTGGCCATTTTTTTAATAGTGAACGTATTTAGCAGTTTCTAGCAACCTTTGAAATAGAGCAAATCTTCTAGTTTATGATGACGTATTACTTTCCAGATTGGATGAGTTTGAACGGAGTTATGGCTTTGGAAAGCGTAAAAACTCGCACTCATCACAAATTTTCCTCGTTAATTTTGCAAAAATCCTCAACGTGGCCATTTTTTGAGTACTGGACGTATGAAGCTGCTTTAGCGACCGTTTGATAGAGAAAATCTTCTAGTTTTGTATGACGTATCAACTTTTTGAATTTGACGGAAATGAAGCAAGTTATTGCTCCGGAAAGTGTAAAAACTCGTGCTCGTCTCGAATTTTCCTCGTTATTTGATCTAAATTTGTTATTTCTTATAACTTCCTGTAATTTCAGTACTGATTAGAAAAAGCTCTTCACAAAACTCCCAAATCAGCTTTCAGATTGAAAATTCGTTAACTTTGAAGAAAGTTATAATCATTTGAATATTTGTTCAAATTTCAATAGTAAATAAGCTGCTCCACGGTCAACGCCAAAGTCCAGTCAACACACAGCTGGCGAAGGCTTTACAAGGCTTTCTTTGAGCGAAAGGGGGACGTGTAAACAGAGTCAACCCTGCGTTGCGCAGTTCTCAACGGCCACGTTGCGCAGTTTCGCCCGATTAGACACGTTCTCTCGCGCGAACATTCACACTCGCATGCTCGAGCCGTCTCCGCCCATACAGCGTGCGTTGAGGATCTCTCAACGTGCCGTTGCGAACTGCGCAACGCAGGGTTGACTCTGGTGTAAATTGAGAACCATAATCTGTGTAGTACTAGAATTTGGTAAGTCTTGTGGAGGAAATAAACAAAGAAGAGGTGTTGTCATAGTACGCCATTTCTAGTGACTAGTTTGACGTTTTTTGCTCCGTTTCTCGTTTGCTCGTTTGGTAGGACTCATCATTAATGATCATTCTTTGACTTTTTCACTTTTTTAGTTCCTATAAGAATTTTTTGGTGGACGGTGGGGTTGCAGGGCTCTTTTGAACATTTTGGGTGAGAATTAAACAACCTTTTCATAGCTCTGTTTTTGAAAAGGGTCGTTTCATGGACTTCGGCCTCTGGGGGAGGGAGGGGGGGTCGTATTTCCAAATTTTCCTCGACGTTCGCTTGACCCTGGCGGAGCAGGCAAAGTGGCAAGTCACCGTGATGATGGCTTGGCCAGGTGCGAAGACGTTGCGGGACCAGTTTTGAGCAATCAAGCCCCATCCTTGAATAGTTTTGGTTTCATTCTGCATTCTTCACAGCCAAGATGTATCGATACTATCACCAGAACGGCGACCGCCTGCAGACTCGCTCACAGTTCTTTGCGTCGTACCTTTCTTCAAAAACGATTAGGAAATGCAACTGCGGGCGGGCAGGTTTGGACAACTCGTCCATCACACGTCTCCCCCCATCGCTTAACGGCAGAGGAGGAGTCCCTGTCTAAGCCCCTGTCCGACGTTTTTTTCTACTTTTTCTTTCTCCATTGCCCAACTTCTCACCTACAACTTCATTATAGGCGGTCCTTGCCCGCAAATTCGTTCCTGGATTGTTGCTTTAAGGCTTTGCTGACTTGCTGACCAGGGTGGAAATGTGTCGAGGACATGGTTACATTAGCACGACCCCCCCCCTCAGATCGGGTTCACGACCCCTCTAACTTTGATTGGGTGTGAAGAAGCGAGTTCTTTCGATGTACAGCAAAGCATTCAACTGCAGCGCGGTTTATCCGTGGTGCGTCAGATTTGCCGGAACTTCGCTCGAGAGAAGG